GGTCATTTGTGTCCAGGTTCTTCAACCTTCCAAAACAGACTCTTCAATTTTCCAAGGCAGACTCACACAAAAGACTCAACAGAGAGCTTTCAGGCCTTTGACAGTTGTCTCCCATTGGATCTTCTGACTGTGGAGTGCACAGACAGCCATTGGAGTCTTCCACCTTGCACCCTATAGACAGCTGTTATGACTTTTCTACCTTTGATGCTATAAGCCTACAGATAAAAACATTTATATAATTATACATATGCTTAATATTGATTCTGTTCCTCTAGAGAAAACTAATACAAGGTTGGACAGTGATGAGTATACCAGAAAATAGAAATCACTGGGATACTTTAAATCTATCTGCCATACCAGTGTAGCAAAAGCGTTGATTTATCTGCTAATGTAAGTGAGAAGTAGTATAAGAATAGGTTTACAGTACAGCAGGATTGGGACTAACTCTTTTCAGTGATTCCTGCCAGTCATGTACTGACAACTGGACACAAAGAAAATGAGACGTGCTGCTTAGTTATTTGTGTCATACTGTTTAAAGATTAAAACTCTTCTGGGGCAATCAGTAGGATATTATCTATATTTTCTTATGGATGTTGAAAATATTGATTTGCACCTAGTTTGTACAACTCATGGCTTAAGTTTTACTGTGTGATCATTGGTTTATAATAGATATCTCAGTAAACAGATCCAGGAATTCTTCTGAGTCTAAAATAATTGGCACAATTCATGCTAGTTCAAAGCTTAATGACAAATTGAGTTCTCTGTAGATAAAATGGCCAAGGACATATGGCTGGAAGTCTTGAATCAGTCTGATCATTGTCTTCATCTTCTTTTCACTGTTAAATGAACTATTTTCCTTCCTTAAAGTCCTCCAGGAGTGCACTTTGTGGAGTATTTGAGTCCTAAAAATATCCAACTCTGTAATTGTTTCAGTTGATACTATGACCAAAATCATTTAGCTACTGTGTGACTCTATAATTTAAATTATAGCCAAGGTTTTGCATTGGAAAAAGATGAAGAAAGGAGAGTTTGGAAATATTTTACTGAAGATGTCTTCCTAGCCACGCCTTGGAGTGAATTTGTACAAATAGCGCAAGACTGATGGCAAGAATTATTATGGGGAAAAGGTAACGGATTCATGGTTGGTAAAAAACAGTTTAAAAAGTAACAAAATAATTCTAACAGAGAAGTCAGCCAAGAATATGGGCCTTAGCTTCCTCTGGACTCTTCACCCAAACGAAAATAACTGGGAAGCTGCCTATAATCGATGGAGCTGGTGCTATTGCTAGTGTTAAGGACAAAATCTTGATTGCAAATTGAATCAAACATCTTTCTATGAATGGAATATGCTTCTTGTCTCGCTAACAACCACCTTAAAGCTTGAGAGAAGGCAGAGTAGAATTAAGCAAAAGAATATTGAGCAAAGGAAATCAATGTCGGGTTATGGGCCACATAATAAGTACCATGGATATTTCTAGATTCTTAAAAACGATTCTCTACCTGACATGTTGATTTGAATGCTGTCTTAAATATTACTTACTTATTTGTGTTTAGTTTATACCTATCTAGCATCACTCACCTCCTCTCATTGCTTGCAAAACAATTCTTATTTTATGCTGGGATACCAGGCACAAAAATACGAATAATAAACTACATTTGTTATAGCAAAGGAAAAAAGTCAAACAGTGTCACAATGATGACTGAGAGTACCTACATAAGTTTTCAGTGTATTAAAACTCAAGTATAGTTGTGGATTCCGAATACATATATGTTATTATCTTTAGAAATGAAATGTAATATAACATATACTTTATAATATAAAATGGAATGTAATATAATTCAGCATCATGATAAGTCACAAAAATAAAACAGATTATACACTGATTTGTGGAGGAGTTGAAGGTAGGGCAAGGCAATGGGGAAAAATAAGAACCAAGATATATCATGTATAGGTACAAATTTCCAAGGATGAATATCATCAAATTGTATACCTAAAATGTACCAATAAAATTTTCAATTTTTTAAAAAAAAGTTATCCTCCCAAAGGGAGCTAAGGTAGTTTAATAACAATCTTTTTTTCCTTTTTATTGAGTTTATTGGTACAATCTAGGTCTACAATACAGTTACATTCATTAGTGGGATCCTGTACCTTCACATGACAGGTCTTGGTTCTCATTTTTTCCCCTTGTCCCTGCCCTCCCTTCACACTCCCTCCTCCCCTCCCCATTTACAAACTCTTTATTTTCATTTTTTTCATTTTCTCAGGAACAATGTTATAGGATGTTGGCATGGAAAGTACAAGGACAAAATGATAGGAAAATCACTTCCCACTTCATGAAGTCTATAGGAATTTCTAAATAGAAAACATAGTTTGCACAGGTGCTCTCTAATTGCAACATCCCACAGATAAACACCAAGTAGATTTACCAAATAGTGCAGAAAATTGAGATTAGAAAGCTGTTTAACTTACTAGTATTTTATTCATAGAAAAAAGCTGGGCTTTACTTAAAGATAAAAGACTATGTAAAAACTGCACATACATACAGTCTTATAATACGAAACAAAGCATATAACAGTCCTCAAGGGACTTGAAATCTGGAGCAAACCAATGCTTCTTAATTTATATTTAAACCTATGATAGCATTTAATATATGAGTAGGTGATAACCTCATTGAGAATACTGAGAAAATATGATTGATGTAGTTTATAATATATGTAGTGTAGTATATTCATGGTTTGTAGCCACTGTCCTGTGTATAACTAGTGTAAATGGTAAGATACCTTTAACTTTAACCAGCTCTATTATGCTGACATTAATGATTACACAAGAGGATTTCTTGAGTCATCATTTCTCTGTGGTGGTACATATAGGCTACTAAGTTTATTGACACCAATTGTTTAAAATGAAGCTATGGGAATAATGGAAAAAAAAAGATAGTCAAGATCCCCAGATATTGTGGAATCAGTTGGGGAGAGTTGCAGATTGTATGCAGAGCCAGCTCAAGTGAGAGGTTGTATGAACTGCAACAAGCAAGACCATAGGGGTGGGATTGCCTTTGGAACTCACCTTTTAATAACATATATCCTGAATGCCAAATGCAGAGTTATAATACTTAATAGATTTTAGTCTTGCTGTGGTCCATTTTTTTCTATATCACTGTCTTCTCTTTGGAATTCGAATGTTTACCTTGTGTCATTGTCCCTTGGAGTGATGTAACTTTTTTTAAAGTTTGTTTTTTAATAGAGATTCACAGGGAACAGCTTTTCTTGGTTCTTGGAAGAGTCTTGTACTTGAACTTCTGAAAAATGCTGAAACTGTTGAAACTTTGGGGAAGAGATTATTAAATTATCAATTATATTCTGAATAGATGTGTTAGGCTGAGTTATGAATTTACTGTTGTTTTATTTTGAGATTAAATATGATTTAAGGAGATGTATTTGGGGAGCAATTTGGAAAGGGTTGGGTGTGTGGCAGGTAAGTGGAGTTTAAATTTGATTGCTTTGGGATCTGCCCCAGTGACTGATGGAGCACATATCCAGGTGTTTCTCATCGTTCACATATGGGTGCCCTTGGGCCTCTGTCTGGCTCCTCACCTTCTCTGCTGTGACACTTTCCCCCTCTTTGCCTTCCATCTGCTGCAAACTAAGCAATTTTCCCCTATTATGCCCTTCTGCCAAGAGTTTTTTTTTTCCTATTAGCCTGCTGACCATGTACTGAAATAATGCTATAAATGTGAGTTAACGTAAATATTTCCTACTTTACTTTGAAATTGTCAAGTATTGTGTCTCAGGGACAGGAAAATTAACTAAAGAAAGCATCTTGCCTGTGTTCACTTATATGTGCAACTCTATATGTGCATGAATGCATTTGTGTGTACGTGTTCATACCTTCATGCCTCTATGTGCCTAGAGAGGTGTTTGTGTGTGTATGTATGGCTTTCAGTGTTAAGGAAAGTCATAATTTCTAAATAAGATTTAATTTTTACAACTCCAAGAGCAAAAATAAAGGTCAGTGATTTGGGAATACTTGTGTTGTATATGTAATAATTTCATATAGTTAATATCTGATTTTTAATGTATTTTAATAGTACTACAGATCCTGTACAAAAGGATTGCACATTATGGTGAGTTGGGTGTGAGATCTAACACTCACCTAATATATCTTGAAGTCACAATTCCTTCTTTCTGACCACGAGAATTTGGAAGATATTCCACATTTTATCCCTTTTCAATTTTTCATTTCGGAATGGTCCACCACAGGGGACACTGGCTGATTTGCTTTATCACTGGCCAAATAAGGGAAAAAGAAAGTGTATTACCAATAGCCTTCTAAAACTGCGTGGTGCCTTATATAAACTTTATACTTCTCACAGGTAAAAAAAAAAAAGGAAAGGCCAAGGACTTGACAAACAGGAAATAACCTTTTTAAATGCCTATGTAATGCTAAAGAGAACATCAGTCTCTTCTCCTATCCATTTGCTCATTCTGTTAAACTTCTGAAGGAAGTATACTCAAAGAGTGATATTTAGAAAGAGAGGCAAATTCCATCTTGCCTCTCTGGAATTCATTCCAATTTAACCACTATTTCAGAATTCTTCAAGATTCTGTGATAGATGAACTGACACAGAAGATATTTCTGTTTTTCATTCTTTTCTCCGCCAGCATCAATACACACTGTACAAAGAAGACACAGATGGAGAAACAGACTGAAGGAAAATATTATACATCCAATGATTAACATACTTTCCTCATTAAAAAATAAGAACAGAAGAATGTTAATCCTTAAATCATAATTTTGTAGAAGATAATAAGCCTGAGACTATATCTATCTAATATATAGAGTTTAAATTTCTAGCCATTTGGAAAGGCCATCCTGGGGTCACACTGTATACATTTTAACTATCTTGTATAATACATACCTAACAATCACAGTGCTAGAGGTTCACACATTTGTTTCCTTGTTTTTGAGACAGGGTCTCCTTGTATCATTTGGGCTGGCCTTGAACTCAGTGGTCCTTCTGTCTCAACCTCAGAGTGCTGGGATTACAGATGTGTGCTGCCATGCCCGGGTCACACATTTAAAACTTGTTAAATAGTTAAGTTTCAAGCTTAGCTCTGAGGATTGCATGTGTTACCTGTGTTTCAAAGAAAATACACTTTAGACAATTATCAAGGTTTAACCCTGAAGACTGGTAACCATACCATTAGAAATATCAATCATATTTTCCATTTTCTGTTATCACAAATATATTTTCACTCTACTTGCACTTAAGTTTAGGATATGGATGTTAAAACATTTCACTGATGATGAACATATATTATACATTTGTAATCAGGAATATTTGTGGATACATTCAGTTTCTATGAGGTGTCCAAAATTAGTGGGTGGTAAGATTTTATCTGCCTTTGATGTCTCTCTGTGTACTCACATTTTAATATATAATTTGATATATAATTTGGTATATATAAGAACATAATTTATACACTAAAATTTTCCTTTAAAGTATATCATTCAATGATTTTAAAAGATTCATGGAGTCATACAGCCATTGTTACTGTCTTTCTAAAAAAATGTTCATCACTTGAAAAAGATGTCACATATACATTGAAAATCATTCCTCATTTTGGTAAGCTACTTTCTGATTCATTGAATTTTAGTTTTCTGGAAATTTTATATATGATAAATGATATCATGTATGTAAAACTGATTTAATATATTAAGATATATCCATAAATAAACGTCTTTATTTTTTAAAATCCGAACAGAGAATGTGTTATATACAAGGCATTTACTTTTTCTGTTGGGAAATAGTAGTTAGACATTTTGAATAGACTGAAAATGTTTTTTGAGTGATGGTTCCTAACTTTGTTGATGAAGTCTAAAGAAGAATTTATTTTTATAACTATTGCCTGATTCACATAGAAAAATTTTCATGATGGATAGCTTATATTTTAATAAGAAAAATGAATTTTTCAATTTTTTTGAAACTGGGATGCTCGTTTAATCACTTTAGAAAATTGAATAGTTTTCAATGATTAACTAATATCAGACATACATTTTTATATGTAAATAACCTGGTTGTTGGTATGACATGCTAATCCTGTTCTTTCTAAAAATTTTTCACATTTTCCTGTGTTGACCTTTTCGTGATCATTTTGGTGACCGAGATCCAATGTCCACAAAGTTTCCTCAATATTCCTCAGAACTATTGCCTATGTTTCTAGGCCCTGTTAATGCAGATAAATTTCTACATTCTTTGCTCTTGATTTTCTAAACTGCTATTTATAACAAGCTTTGGAAAGTTCACATTACAATAGCAAAACAACTTAAAATTAAGTTCTTGCCTTGTATTTTTCTTAAACTTATAAACCATTTCTCTTTATTTGTGCATTATGTTTCTCAGTACTTTTCTTTTACTCTCTTTCCCTTGTCTTTGCCTACAGCATTCCAAAAGCAAAACAAGACAAAGAAAACAAGAATACAGAGAAAAAAATCAACTGTTTCAACCCCTCAACTCTTTAAGATGTGGGAACTTTATACAAAAACAACAAATCAAAACAGACTAGCACTTCACCACATTCTTCTTAAAGAAATGAGAGGAGCTGCAGATCTCAACCTGTTTACATCTTTTCTGCAAAAGAAAAAGTCTGTAAAGATAATTGATGATTGTTTCTTTTAAAGAGCAAAATGGCTATACTTAATTGCATTTTTAATTGATTTTATTTCTACCAAATTTTTGCTATTTTATTCTTCTTTTATATTTTCTTTAAAGAAAAAAAAATGGCCTGTATTCAGATCTGTGAGCAGTTTTGTAATAACTGACCAGAATGTAAGGTAGGAGTCTTTGTTTAGGTCTGGATAATAGTTCACTTTTCCTTTAATGTTACTCCATATAGATTTTTCAACTTTCCACATTAGGAAAAAAGAGAATCTTTCTTACATGCCCAACTTTATGTTAAAGCTATCTATACTCAGTAATGATATTGACCCTTCTTAAATCTTCATTTTGATACCATGCTATCTTGAAAGCATAAATTCAGATGAATGAGGGGATGAACTAAAGAGAGCAATTGGAAATGGGTCAGTGCAGAGAGAGATTAAACTTCTCTAAATAGATATAATGAGACTCTTTCAACTCCATGCACATCCAAGGCAAACTCTTAACTCCAAGTTCACAAACAGATTTATTCAACTTGCCATTCTACTGATAGTTTATGCAAATCATAATTTTATGGATTTTTTCCTGAGATAAATGTGCACAGATTCAATATTTTTCAAATTATAGAATTAAATTTTTAACAACTAAAAGCAGGTAAAGATTGAGAACTGCAGTTTTGATAGAATAAGTCTTGTTATAAGGATAGAGATTCAAGAAATTTCCTTTAGGAATATAATACATTCAGAATGACAAGCTAAATGGAGATGAGCTGCAGACCTGTACATGTTTATGCATTTTTGCAAAAGAAAAAGGTGCTATAAAAACAGGTGATGATTACTTCTTTTAAAGGGCAAAGTGGATATAGTTCATTGCCAAACTAACCAAACTAAATTCTAATTTTTAGTTTTCAGTTGAGTGTATTGATTTTATTCTTAACTTGGGATGTATTTTACTGATCTAGCAGATTGATTTAATAAAAATATGCAAATTGCTTTAAAATAATATTTTAAAAATTAAAGAACTAGTCTCATCAGTACAATTATTGCACACTAATTAACACTGTAAACTAATTAAAGTCAAGTGACTGATGCTATTCCAGCAGGGGAAGGAAGAGCAGCACTGAGGAGTTTAGATGGCTTCTGATTTAGGAAGACAGTTACAGCAAGATCTCCCAGGCCTGCCATGACTCCCGAATGTTCAGTGATTCTTACGAAGCATTTGAGAAGGATGAATAAAACAAATATAGCATCTTCCATTATGTTCCTCAAAATTTCCCAGCAAGACAGTCGCTATTCAAAATAATTTATTAGATAAGTAATAAAAAATGATCCTAGGCCATTTTAAATGTATAGTGCCCTCATTAAAAGGACACGAGGTGCCCTAAAATGACAGATATTGTAAATGCTAAGCCTGAAAACAGGTCTAAGAAATTTATATTTTAAACTATACACATTAATAAAAATTATTTGAAAAATAAGCTAAACTATCTAAATTTTAAAGTTTTTAAAATATCTTAACTGGTACTTCAAAATTAAATGGAATTATAATTACAATGTGCTATGTTATGTTTTTATATGTGTATGCATTGTACAATGGTCAAATCAGGACAAATGTATGTGTCTTCTCATTTTTCATTTATTTATGATGAAAACACTCAAAATCTGTATATTTTGTCTCTAAAACAATACATGACATTATTACCTATAGTCACCACACTGCACAATAGAACACCAGAACCTTCTCAGTGCCTTTTAGTATTCTGACTTTTTTCAGTCTTCTTATGTAGGCTTCCATCTCGGGCCTGCTTTGCCGCTATCCAGTGTGGATACCCATTCTGTCTCTTCATAGAGTCCCTTGCCATTTATTCTTGTATAAGAATCTGTTCTCGTCACTAAGTTTTCCTCAGAGGTGTTAATATTTACTTCTCAAAGCCTTCCCTTTTCCATATTCTAGTTAACTTACTCTTTTTTATCAGTAAATGTACTACTCTTTCCATCTAAAGTTTTGCTAGTCTATCTTTCCTACAGTTTAATATTCTTCTTAGATAGTAATTAAAATAACTTCTGCAACAATGCATAAGATTCTAATAAGATTACTGACATTTAGAAATGGGAGGAAAGGAGCTAAAGGTGTAGGGAAGGTGTGATACGTAGGGGAAGAACAAAAAGGGAAAAGAAAAAAATGTGAGAGAATGAAAAGATGAAAATAAAGTGTTTGTAGATGGGGAGGGGAGGAGGGGGTGAAGGGAGGGCAGAGGTAAGGGGAAAAAATGAGAATCAAGACTTGCCATGTAAAGGTACATGATCCCAACAATGAATGTAACTAGGGAGGGCAGAGGTAAGGGGAAAAAATGAGAATCAAGACTTGCCATGTAAAGGTACATGATCCCAACAATGAATGTAACTGTACTGTATCACTAAATGTACCAATAAACTCAATAAAAAAAAAAAAAAACTTCTGAAATCACATCATGCAAAGAATGTGTCTCCATCAAATTGAGTAAATGTTGATGATTCCCTACTAATATATTTTTGTTTTGATTTAACACCCTATTACATCTACTCTTAGCCACAGAATTAAAACTTGTGCTATGCAAACTATATCATGCTACTGTACTGTCATACAAAAGAAGTCTTGTCTGCCTTCCACATAGTCATCTTTACACACTTGTCCCTGTGAGTTTCTTCTACTATGAGCAAGACTCCTCTAACTACATATGACATCTTTCACATCATTGCCTTACTAATTATATCTGCAACCAAACTCTTTTAGTGTTAGGTACAAATTTTAAAGCAAATATTTCACTGTACCGAATTGAATATATTTCAAGGATGACGTGCTTGCAGACAGAATGGAGTTTGATTATGCCTCTTATGTCAAATATGCTTTCCTCTTGATGCATTTTGTGACACATACTTTAATGTTCATACTGCATCAAGCTATACTCAGTTTGCTGGTAGCTAATTCTCTTTTTTAGGTATCAAAAAAGAAGATATGGTAGCCTGGCATGGTGGCGCATGTCTGTAATCCCAGCACTCAGAAGGTAGCTGTGAGTTCAAGACCAGCCTGGGCTACGTAGTGAGTTCCAGGTCAGTCTCAACTACATAGTGAGACCCTGTCTCAAAAAACAAACAAACCAAAAACAAGATATATTATGATGCTGAATATTTTATCCAAATTATTCTTCTCACAATTTCTTTGATAAAAAAATGCCATGAGCATTCATTCATCTTATATCTTACTTCAGGGGCTAAAAAGGTTGAAAATACAGCTAATGGCAAAGAACTATGAGATACACCAGGGATTTCATTCAGGTCACTGAATTACAACTTTGAAAGAATAATCATGAGACATGATATGAATTTTATATTATGACCTAAAATACTATTTGTAAATTTAAGTATTCATGTATACTTAAATTCAATTAAGTTGAACAATTAAGTTATTATTCCTACTGTGCATTAATTATTCTTATA